GCTACGTTATTCACGTAGCTGAAGTTGCGTACCTTAGTTCGAATTAGGGGGGGTAGTGTAGACCAAGCCTAAGATACAGCTTTAAATAACCTACTTAGCCCAATATGGCCAGCATGATGTATCATTTTAAAATAGCATTCAGCTGTCAAAATGTACATGGTATTGCATTAAATAGCCATTTTCCCATGTATACAAGTCTCTATCTCTTAGACTATATGAAAGCATAGCAAGAACAGATTGTGCTGATCTTAACTCAAAGCTTGCATCGATTTGCTTCTCTCTCAACAAATCAAAAGCAAAAGTTACCCTCATATCCTTAGTATCAGTAACATATAGCACTCCACATGCTATGAATGCATTGCCAGCTTTGGACTTGGGGTATGTAGTGTTGATATGCTGAACGACTGAAAATGTCTCTTCGTCAATATGTGCTACAATGATATTTTCATCAATACTTGAGGCATAGATAATCCAAAGACCCTTTTCATCCACTGCCACGTTGAAGTACGTCTTAGCGTTAGAAAAGAGGTAGTGGCGACTATCGTGTAAGGCATTTTCAATTCTCAGGGTTCTGAATGATGCTGTATCAAGCTCAAATCTGAAAGGAAATAAAATAAATATTTAAGATGCTGGTTTAAGAATTTGCTTTTCATACATACATAATTTGGGTAAATTCTTAGTATGGAAGAGGTCTCTCGGGAAGAATTGTCTTGCCTTTACAATTTTTTAAAAACAGGACAAAACCTTTGCTCAGAGGGTTTAGGATTTCCTGACAAAAATAATTGTGTGCGCTCGTGCCACACTGCTTGTGCTTGCTAGGGGGAAAGCATCCTCTCCGGGTTTAAATAAATACTAAGATAATCCTATCAAAACAGTCAATAATCCTTCGTCTGTCTTCCCTGGAGAGATGTCTGGTGAGAGCATCGTAACAAACCAGGCACCCAAAACACCCATCTCTGTCTTTTAGATTTGTGCCCTCTGAGCTGCCGCCCCCAGTTCTGGTTTGCTCTCACCTTTTCTGGGAGAGGTGAATATGGTGGTCAAAGTGAGGTCAACTAGATCTTGTGTCAGATTTTGAAAAGCCTAAGGTGCTTTTGAAAAGCCCAATAGGCTTCTAAAGACCATTAAAATCTGGCGCCAGGTACCCAGTGAATGAGTCTCTAGCTATCTAGGCTTTGTACCAAATTCATCACCATAGTAACTGAGCAGTTTACAAATATTCAGGCTCTCAGGGCTAGATTCAAACAAGGGATTTTGATACCTGAGATCAAAATTTAGATCCTCAAAACCCACCTACTCCTATAGGCACCTAAAATCCCTAAGCACCTACATTGCCACTGGTGGTCATGCACAAAGCCACTGAAGTTCTGGTGCTGCCAACCACCTCAGTGCCTAAGCCTCAGTGGGATTCACAAACTAGGTGTTCCCTATCTATCTCACCTGTGATAATTCAGTAGGTGTTTCCAGAAGCTGCCTAAAAGAACGCCTACCAGATTGCATGAGGAGGTGCCCCCCCCTTGTGCCCAACAGCCCGGTGGTTAGAGCACTCACCCAGGTTGCAAGAGACCTGGTTACAAATGCCCACTCTGCCAGATTCAGAGCAATGATCTGAGCCCAGGTCTCCTACCTCCCAGGTGAATGCCCTAGGTCAGTGTTTCCCGAACTTGGGATGCCGCTTGTGTAGGGAAAGCCCTGGCGGGCCGGGCTGGTTTGTTTACCTGCTGCGTCCGCAGGCCGGCCGATCGCGGCTCCCACTGGCCACGGTTCGCCGCTCCAGGCCAATGGAAGCTGCTGGAAGCGGCACAGGCCGAGGGATGTGCTGGCCACTGCTTCCCGCAGCCCCCATTGGCCTGGAGCAGCGAACCCCGGCCAGTGGGAGCCGCGATCGGCCGGACCTGTGGACGCAGCAGGTAATCAAACCGGCCTGGACCACCAGGGGCTTTCCCTACACAAGTGGCGTCCCAAGTTTGGGAAACACTTCCCTAGGCTATAGAGTCATTCATTCCTCTAATGGCCTAAAGAAGATTTAAGTATTTCATTCAAAATGGAACAGCTTCAACAGGAGAGAATGAGAGAAACACCCCCCACCACACACACACAGAATCCCCTGTAGCCCGCTGCTTAGTGGGACATCTGGGAGACCACTGAAGTGTTAGGGAGGCAGCAGCACCATCACCTTCTTTTGTGAGAAAGGACTGACCTGAGCTAGGTTCATGATGTGAATCCCAAGTGGAGGGAGGTGACTCGCTCTGGCCCAGAGGATAGGTACCTGACTCCCTCTGGGGGGCAGGGGTTAAACCCCACCCTTCTCCTTGGCATTTCCTACTGGCTACTTAGGCAGCTCCTCTCTCATCGTGCTGGTTTCTGTAAACCTGATTCTTAGGCACTTACATGTATTCTGCAGGGCTGAGCCTCTGCCCTTTTCTGCCTCCTACCTGCACACCACCCACACAGCATGATGAAGGAAAACCTGGGCTTGGTCCTTGTTGGGAGTGATCTACTCTAGAGTTATAACCAAGATAGTTCCTTCACTCACCACCAGCAGCAGCTGCTTTGGGTATGGCATAGTGCACTATTTCACTAGTGTGAGAGAAGGAAGATCAAACTGAAGATTTTTTCTTGAACGAAGCACATGAGAGAAAGGGACAAAGCATTCTCAATAGAGGAGATCTGCCCTTGGAAAAGGCTGCCAGGGGAGCTCAGACAAATCCAGAGTCTGATAACTTTTGGAAATGCTGCAAAACCTTGTTCTTTGATAAAAGTTTTTCCAACAAAGCAACATTTACAACATCCAGCAGCCAGCTCCCTCTACACTGAGTCCTTCACATAAAACAACTATAACTCCCCCAAGTAGAACTTTCTATAACTCAAAAGGGAGAAGAGCTAGAGACTCTATGAAGTCCACTGAAGACTTTGCCAATCTATTCTGCATGGAAGTAGAATTTCTGCCTGAGGTATTAATAACTGAAAAGTGCGGTTGACAATAGAAAGGCCATCTCTTGGCAATAGGTACCCTATCATATTACATTGTCAAGATAAGTCGAGGTGGTTCAAAGTCTGAGAACATTTAAGGTGCAAGGAACTGGAAGGGTCTTTGGTAGAACAAACAATGTATGATCCCAGCAACCAGCTCACATTCTTTTCTCACTGCATCTCTTTGGGTGCCAGAGATGCACACCTGCCCGGGAAGAAACTTCAAAATACAATGGTGTTCTTGCCTCAGATGTCAGAGACTCAGCCGGAAATTTGAAAGCAGCTGAAATCTTTAGCTTGTCCTTGAAGTCCATTTGCTTGGCTCTTCCCACAAGGCTGAGTTTTGTTTTTGATTAGCACTGTCTGCCCGACTCCTCAGTAAAAGCTAACAAGACACAGATGTGGTGGCATGAGCAGTTCCAGGTTCAGACCCAGCAGAGGCGGGGTGGGAAAGCCATAGCAACTTTCTAGTTATATGCAATCATATTGTGAAGTCGGCACTCTACCAGGGAGCCTGCAGGCTCACCACGTTGCCTTGTAATCACCTGATGCCTGAGTATTGGTATATGGCAGTCAATGCACAGCACAAGTTAGAGACCACTACTAGCAGCACTAGATTGCATGTGACTTTGTGACTGAGCTACTGCACAGCCATACATGCATGCCAACTCAGCAAGAAGGCCTGGCATGCCAAGAAGCTCCTGTGCCAAAGGCAAGTTCCACTGTATCCTACCTTTCATAATTACATGGCATGATTGACATGATCCAGGGAGCTCTCTGAAACAACAGACGATCAATACAGTGGGCTCAACTTTCTCGGTGCCAGCTGAGTGGGAAGGGGAGGCTCTAAGCCACCTTTTCACCTCCCCAGTCCTGGGGCTGAACCAGTTCCTAGCATAAGCTTCCATATCATTGCTCTAATTTACATGGCTGGAAGAGCCATTCCACTGGCCCAGGATCACCAGAGCACACGGCACTCTGGCTCTGCCCTCAGCACACAGCTTTGATACCTTTTTGCACCACAGAAGCAGCAGGGTTTTCCCCTGGGATGAAGATCTAGCTAGCTCAAAATAGTTAAAATTTGTAAAGACTGATTCATTTCCTTGCTTTCTTTCTCATGTGCTTTTTCTGCCCTGATCCCACCATTAGACCTCCCCACCCCAGTTAGAGCCCCATTAACTTCAGCAGGATTCTACCCAGGCCTGGGGTCAAACTGCAGGATCAGGGCCTAAATTTGTCAGAACAATACAAGTTATAAGATGTGAGCCTATTGACAACTGATTCTCCTGTCGCACATTGTGGGCTCCACCTCTGCATTTGGTGGCCATTTCTAGTAGCAGCTAATGGATAACTAGTTATCCATTGATTTAGATACCACTATCCATTCACCTACCCTTCCTATCCACCCTCTCTTTCCACCCGCAATCCCAAAAGAAACCCAAAGATACTACAGAACATGTAGACACAGAGAACAGAGTGTATTACCAAAAATGTTAGAGGTTTTCCCACTGAAGTTCATCTTTGCTCTTTTAATCTCCATTCATGTTCCCTGTTCTCATTACTTCGTGTGCCTTCCATCCAGTGGAATGCAAAGCCGCCATCAGGCTAATCTTTGACTTACTTCACAATGATACTGGTTCCTCCTTTTTGATAGTATAGGCAGTTGTTATATATCACATGGCCACATCCATAAAAGATCCCCGTGAGGTTAATGATCCTGTAGCTGTCATTCAGCAATGCGTTTGCATTCTCATATTCTTTTATGAAGTTTCCTTAGGGGAGGGAAAATATGAAAGAAAACCAGCCAGTTGGTTTACTGAACTATCTGACATCTCTACTCACATCCAGATACAATTCTTTCAGAATCAAGTTCCTGCCAATCATAGCCACATTTTTTAACATTTCTCAGAGTGCTGGAACATAAAAACCAAGAGACAAAACTCCAGATAAGCCCAAATTATTGTGTTTATTATTCAACATTTGTATTGTGGTAGCATCTAGATTCTTCAACAGGGGACTGGGACCCAGGTCACCCAGAATCCAGCCCATTTCCATGTTTTTCCTGTTCTCACTCTCTTTCCCCTCACCCCCCGTTTTTTTTTAAACCTTTAAACTTGAGAGCCACGGTTTAGGAAACTGAAATCTTGAAAACTTTCCCTTGAAAGGAATTTTTTTGCAAAACATATTTGCTTTCCACAATTATTTATTTTTATTTTTGGAGGAGGGGGATGAAATTTTCTTTGGTCAAAACCCAAAAGCACTTCAGCTGAAAATGTTTGGTTTTCAGTGAAAATTTTTCAGCTTTCCACTGAAAAGCTGAAATTTTCCACAGAAACCCCTTCCACATTTTCCAAGCAGCACTAATTAATACCTTATCTGAGACGCCAAGAGATATGTCCAGATATATTATGAAAGCAGATGAACTTTTCAAATAACTGTGACTGAGACCTGGAAAAACTGAGGCCTCCATCCACTTACATTGATTCAAGTATGTTGCTATTCTTCCAGAACTCTTCTGTTGGCTAAGGCGGGGTCACATGACCCTGTGAGCCAAAGTAGAGAAGTCACAGGAGAAGGTCATTGATGCTGTGGCATGTTTAAGGCACAAAGGCCTTTTAAAAGGTTATAATAACAAATTATTAGGCAGACAATGTGGACTGTTCCAGTTCTAGTCTATAAAAAGAAAAAATGATGCTACCTGGGTTTAAAAATAGGGTGACCAGACGTCCTGATAAAATCGGGACCATCCCGATATTTCGGCATTTGTACCGATATTTCGCAGTACTCCTTTTTTTTTTTGCTCCGCCGCCGCCCCCCCCCCCGCCCCCCATGTGTCCCGATATTTTCTTCCTCTCATCTGGTCACCCTATTTAAAAATAACCTCCACTGTGCAATACTGCCCCTGGCTTTTCAACCTGTGAGGCAAAAGACCTCCCAACTAAAGCTCACTTTCACTCATTACAGTATTTTACACACTATATTTCTAACAATACTGATTTGGCTGAAAAAATGAAAAAAGCAATATAGGATCAACCTATCCACAATTATATCCACGATACCTGAAAAATGCATCGTAAGCCAAATTCTGTCATCACTTCTATTTGCGGGTTCCCTCATCCATGTTCCAAATGTTTGCTGTATCTTACCCATCTCAGTGGGACTTCCTATTGATTTAACGATGCATTCTAGTAGCAAAGAGAAAAACAAATGTGCATCATCCCCGACCTCCGCAAGTAAACAGTAGACTTTAGTAATGCATCATATTTAGAATAAGTTACCAGCTTTTTTTGGTTGGTATCCATTGGTTTTCTCATCAGCTTTTCCTACCAGCGTGTCATCATTTGGTATGGCACATGTCTCACCTAAAATTGGGGGGACAGAAAACAAAACCTTTGAATACGTTTGACAGATCTGGGGCACATTGTCAGTTGATGTAAACTACTCCACTGAAGTGCATGGACTGTGACAATTTATACCAGCTGAGAATCTGCCCCTGTGTTTCTTATATTTCAAGATTTCTTACAAGCAAAAAAACCAAAAAGTGTGGAATATGAAATACAGATCATTCAGTTTAATACTTATCCAACATTGTTTAGCATATGCATTTGTCACCAGTTAAGGTTGTGTCAAAATTCAGAATTGCAATTTTATAAAGATGGCTATAAAGATAAGTTTGGGGATAATAACATTAGTATATGCTTTGTGGCTTCCATGTTTATCACACTTTAAAACAATAATTCTTGCTTTCTTTAAGCGAAACATTTCGGTTAACCAAATTAAAATACTTTTTGCACTTGTCAAATAAATCCTTACATTTAAAAATGTACATAAGTGGCTAGTAATGCGTCCAATAATAAGACAGGTGTAGAGGCCAGACATGGGGAAAGTCTTCCCTCCCCACCACTTCAATATAAAAAGCAATTCTGTTCACACATACGCCCTTCCACAGATTTCAATCTGCTCCAGTATGACATATCGTCCCGAGGTGTATGTGTGCAAAGCTGCAGCCAGAGCCTTATGCTTCCACAGTTCTCATACCTGATGCAGCAACATTTGATATGCAGTCTCTCTCTTTTACAAATGAGAACGTCTTCCTCAGCCTTTGTGGGAGCAAGGAGTCAGAGGGCTTGTCTGCACTATGCTTTAGTCCACACCAGAGGGATGTAAATTTTAGTCCATGCTAGCATGTCATGCACTAACTGGCCCATGTGGACCCTGCTGATGCACACTAAAAGTTCACTAATGCACACTAACGTAGTACCGGTTGAAACAGGACTACATTAACACACACTATGGTCTACATGGGCCAGTTAGAGTGCATCATACTAGTGCAGACTAAAATTTACACCTTTCTGGGGCAGACTAAAGCACCATGTAGACAAACCCAAAGAGAGTCCCAAACTCTTCCTCCACATAGAATTATATCTTGCTGACACTAGGGTAGTGTCATGAGAAGCAGCACAATCTAGTGGACTGAGCATAGGACTGGAGCTAGGAATCCATGAATTCTAATCCTGTTTCTACCACTGGCTCACTCGATGGCCTTGTCTAAGTTATTTGGCTTCTCTATAACTGTCTCCAGATGAAGTGGTGACACTGGCACAAGACAGTAAGTGGTGGAAAGACTTCATTCAGTCCCATTGTCTCTACTGAGCTGACAGACGGGAATCAAAGAACAAGATAATTGTCTCCACCTTATCTACCTCATGGAGCGGATGTAACGTGTTTGTGTAGCACTTTGAAGATGTACACTTCTGAGCCAGTTCCTACCACATTTGTTTGTATTGATTTGGTCTCTCTGAGCCAGATGTGCCCCTATAGAGGAAAATCTCTGGATTAGGAGTGAAAAGGAATAGAAGGGGGAGAAGTGCTGATTCCACCCCCTACAGAAGAAGCAGAGGGTTCAATTTCTAAAACCTTCACACTCTGCCTTTCTGTCTGCCTTGGACTATGCAGTGAAATATACAACTTGACTTACAGGGGAACCCATTTGAGTGTTCACTCCCACCGCAGCCTTTATTTCCTTTGTTACCCTGATAGGAAGGCTGGGCTGGTTTTGTTTCCCTCCTTAAAGTTTTCAGACTATCAGTCTACTTTGGGACTAAGTCATTTTGTTAAACAACAGAAACGTAAATGCCTTGCTGTGAGTTGCTAGGGAGCATGTGCGGCACCTTTTCTTAACACATGTGAGGCAGATGAGACGGCAGGCAACTGTCCAACTTGTCCTTTGATACGATGAAGAATGTTTGTTTGGGAACACTGGAGGCTGATAAATGACTGAAACTCACATGTAAAACACCTACAAACCACAAGAGGGGGTATCCTCAGCAGGCAGCAGGCGCAGTCCCACTCCTGCCTTTAAGGAGAGAACCTCTACTAATGCACGCCAGAGCTTGGCTTCATGCTGACAGAACACGGGGCAGCTGTCTTACACTGCTTCTTTTTTTAATGGTAAACAATGTAGAGGAGGAAGGGAGCTTATGCACTGTGTCTTTCCCTCTGGAAAGCCGTTCATGGAAAGAAAACAACAGAGACAAAGCTGGAAGCATTTTTCTATTTGAAAGAAATTTGTTGTTGTTGTTTTTAAACATTCTTTTGTAATGTTCCCTAAACTATTTAGGCGCCTTTACTTATTCCCTGAAAGCCACAGCTGCCTTTTCAGCAGCAATTTATGATCCATTTTTGATTCACTCACAGAGAGCCTCTCCAAGGAACAGTTCCCAGTTCTGTTTTTACTTTCGCGTGGCTGAAGGTAACCCAAGCTCTTTGTAACGCCATTCTCCCAGCCCCCGCCACCCTGTTGATCTGTTATGTCCACCTATTTTATCCTGTCTGATGTGTCAGCTGCAAGCTCTTTGGGGGAGGGACTGTCTTTTTTGTTAGTTGTTCATACAGTACCCGGCACAATGGGGCCTTGATAGAGGTTCCTAGGTATTTAGTTAATACAAATATTAAATGACATTAAAACAGTTGCTGAACTGCATTGAACTGCAGCTTGACGCTCAGGAAGGAAGAAATAGATTAACTGATCCATTTCTCCTGCAGTCCTCCTCCCTCTTTCCTCTGGCATGCCCCTCACTCCCACCTCTTGTGCAGCACAAAATGGAGGATTTCCGATACAAAATAAGCAAATGAAATCATACTTTACATCATCCCTTTTACAAAGGGCATAGGGATTCTGGTTTTGGGTGATGAGGTCAGAGCTGTCCACCCTTGAGAGCAGATGCACAGACATCCCATCTCAAAAAAGACCCAACAACACAATCCGGATGAGTCTTTTGGAAATCAGTGTCCACAGCCAGACTCTGGTAATCTTTATACAGCCCCTTTCATCCCATGATGTCAAAGTACTGTGCCCAAAAGGGTAACTAGAGTTACCTTCATTGTAGAGATGGAGGAAGGATAGAGCAGGGGCAGGCAAACTTTTTGGCCCGAGGGACACATCTGAGTATGAAAATTGTATGGGGGGCCATGAATGCTCACGAAACTGGGTGTTGGGGGCAGGATGGGGTGAGGGCTCCGGCTGGGAGTGCGGACTCTGGGGTGGGGCCAGAAATGAGGAGTTCAGGGTGCGGGAAGGGGCTCCAGGCTGGGGCAGCGGGTTGGGGTGTGGGGGTGTGAGGGCTCCAGCTGGGAGTGCAGGCTCTGAGGTGGGGATGAGGGGTCCAGGCTGGGACCGAGGGGTTCGGAGGGCAGGAGGGGGATCAGGGCTGAGGCTCCAGGTGGCACTTACCTCAAGCAGCTCCTGGAAGCAGCGGAATGTCCCCCCTCCATCTCCTACGTGGAGGCGCGGCCAGGCGGCTCAGTGCACTGCCCTGTCCACAGGCGCCAACCCTGCAGCTCCCATTGGCCGTGGTTCCCAGCCAATGGGAGCTGTGGAGGCGGCACTTGGGGCGGGGGGCAGCGTGTGGAGCCCCCTGGCTGCTCCTATGCAAAGGAGTCGGAGGGGGAATATGCCGCTGCTTCCAGCACGTGTGGAGCAGGGGCAAGCCCGCAACCCCGCTCTCCAGCTGGAGCACTGGAGCGGGGCAAGCCCTGGACCCCGTTCCCTGGTGGGAGCTCGAGGACCAGATTAAAAAATCTGAACGGCTGGATGTGGCCCCTGAGCCGTAGTTTGCCCACCTCTGAGATAGAGATTCAATGACTTGGCCAAGGTCATACAGAAAGTCAGTAGACAAGTAAGAATAGAACATCTCTGTCTCCTACTCTACCATATTAACCAAGACAGCACAACATCTCAGCCTCCTCCATGTCTTGAATAGTCTAACAAAGAGTTTTAATATCTCAACACAGATGTTTGTCTTTGCTTAACCCTTCGCAAAAAGCAGAATGGCTAGTTTTGAATAATATTGTATCTTATACTTGCCAGTCACTGGGAGCCAGATACATAGGATTTGATCATCTTTTGAAATTCTCATAGCAAAAGCTCCCCAGAGCTAAGAAATTATACCCCTGAAGTTTATGCTTCCCAGACTAATTCTAATTAACGTAGTTAACTGTACTAGCAGCTCTCCTAGACGGCAGTTTATCTGTGACTGGAACAGTCAAGGACCAGGTCAGTGTTCCTGATGAAGTTGAGTGCAGTATTTGGGTTTGAGAATAGCTATATTCTCCATGAACTTTTAGCTGAAAGAAACTAAAAGCAGCTAAGACAAAAAGATATTTTTCACTTTGAGATAAACCACAGCTTGAAAATCTGCCATTTGGAATTATCATTGCTTACGTTGTCCAAAAAAGATTAGCAGCCTGTATATTCTGACAGTTATTGTCTTCTTTCTGAGGAAATCAAGTTTCCTTTATTAATTGTTTCAAAATATTAGCTAACTAGATTATTTTTAGTATCCGTATTAGCATCTGAAATCATCGTCTTAATTTCAAGTTGTCTTTTTCTGGTTCCTTTTTGGGAAAGTAAATGTAACAAGTTAGTTTAGTTAGCTAAACTATTAAATTAGCACACATATATGTTTACTAGACAGATATGCTGGCAGGGTAAGGGACCTCTGGACAGCTAGTGATAGTCATAGAGTCATAGACTTTAAGACTTTAAGGTCAGAAGGGACCATTATGATCGTCTAGTCTGACCTCCTGCACAACGCAGGCCACAGAATCTCACCCACCCATTCCTGTAATAAACCCCTAACCTATGTCTGAGCTACTGAAGTCCTCAAATCGTGGTTTAAAAACTTCAAGGTGCAGAGAATCTTCCAGCAAGTGACCCTTGCCCCACGCTGCAGAGGAAGGTGAAAAACCCCCAGGGCCTCTGCCAGTCTGCCCTGGAGGAAAATTCCTTCCTGACCCCAAATATGGCGATCAGCTAAACCCTGAACATGTGGGCAAGACTCACCAATCAGACACCCAGGAAAGAATTCTCTGTAGTAATTCAGATCCCACCCCATCTAACATGAAGTGTTTTGCAAAATTGATCAAAACTATCAATGTTTTACCAGAAACACTGTGGATTGAAAGGCAGCAGTTTCTCTAAATTGCAATGTTGTATTCACATTGTGCTAATAAAAACAAGATAGGGAATCTGTGCTTATTGTGTCAAGAGTTAGTAAAGTAAAGCTTACACTGTATATAAAAATGCACAATTAATATGTGGAACTCACTGCCACAAGATATTATAGAGGCCAAGAGCTGTTAAGGATTCATAAAAGAATGGACAGATTAAAAAAATATACATTAGCTAGGATAAAAATGTTTATTATCTCAATATAACCCTGATGTTTCAGGACATAAACTAATCATTAATTACCATGGTTAAAAATAAACTCCCTCTGTAGGCATGACATTGCACCTTCCTCCGAAGGATCCTGGATTGGGCATCAGTTTGGTGACAGGATTCCAGATTAGACGGCCCATTATTCTGATCTGTTTATACCTGTGGTTCTATATTTCAAGTAGAATCAGACTTCTGCTAAACTGTTCATCTTATTGTTACCTAATCCTCCCACCCCATTTGTCTGTTTAGTCCACCTGTTGTCTCCTGTTTGATACCTATACCTGAAACTATTAGAGGCAGGGACTGTCTTTGTCACTTCTCAGTACAATGCCTAGCACAATGGGACTCTGCTCCTTGATCGGTACTATCAGATAATAAAGAAAAGAGAAAAGAAGAGATTGAAACATACTCTGTTTGGTACTAACTCCATTAACTACTTACAGCGAGAGCTCATAATAAGAACTGCATTTTCATCCTAGCAAATGCTGCAGAATTACAGTGAGAAAAACTACATATATATTTCTAAAGCAAATACTAGCCTTGGTTCACCTGCGGTCCTTTAACCTAAGGCTAACATTGCTAATGGCTGTTAATATCCACTTCCCCAGTTATCTTCCTTTCGCTAGATAAATTATATGCTAGACACAGCAGACAAAGCAAGGTAAAGGGCTACAGCAGCTGAAATGGCACAAGATGAAACTGAGAGCATTACTCCCAACAACTATCAAGAGCTCTGTCCTGAATGCTGAAAAAACACCATGTTCCCACTGCAACACTAATTACTAGAATGTGAAATCCAGTATTAATGGTGAAATCTAAAGATAACTCCACATGCTTAAACATTAATGACAGCATCAAGTTATTGTGACATTCACCTTCGAGCTAAACTACAAAACTACAAAAGAAAACCCACTTTACTAAGTACATTCACAGATTATTTCCATTAGTCATTACTCAATTCACCTTCTTCTGCATCTCCACATAGCAATTACAGCATTTATCTTCTGATGGAGTTTGGGTTGGACCACTTTGACCTCGTTAAACAGGGACGTCATCTGCTCAGCAAAATTGTTCCCAGATCCACTAGGAAGATTTCAACTGCCACTATAAGCCTGAAATATTCATTGGTTTCCATGCATGTAGGGAAAACAGGACAGCAGGGTAGGATTCATTATGAGGATCCAAGAGGAAAAGTTTGCCTGCATTCCCAAAAGCGACTAACAAGACAAATGTGATGGTTTTGTAGCATATTCTCTCTGCTTTCCTTAACCTGCTGCTAGTCTGAGCTTAGATCTTTTAGGATTATCACAGTACATTGTCTTGCTTCCAGCACCCATCTGCTTGAGTTTCCTAGTCATCACCTCCAGCTCTTCTAATTGTGCCAACTCTCCACTGGCAAAAATTGGCTCATTCACTTCCAGGATGTGGAAATGACTAGAACTGGGCCCTTAAAATTTTGTTTTCTGGCATTTTTTTCCACAGGAGCGTCCTGTGATGATTCTGGCTGAAATTTTAAAAAATAATGAGTGATTTCAACTGGAGACACCTTAAAAGACCTGATTTCCAGAGGTGGGTGTTAAGGACTTTCTGAGCAACGGGCTCCTTTGCCATGTCTCAGGTTGGGCACCCAAAAACTGAAATATCTAAAATCAATAGTCACTTTTGAAAAAACTTTTGTCCCTCAAAACAACAACACTCAGTACTTAGACAGTTATTATTTTCAAAGGCCCACGGCAAATGCTAAGACCCAATAAAACACCTCATTCTGTTTATTAAAAACCATCCCCTTCCTAAATATACAAAAAGAAGACACTCAAATATATCCAGAAAGCCAGTTTAAAAATCAAGCACAGAAAAATGCCAAGCACAGAAGGAAACATTTAGTTTAGACATGCAATAATAGACATTAATACATTCTTTCATAACATGTTGACACCAACCCTTCCGTCCCACAAAAGTGCTTAGCTGAAAAGAATACGAATATCTTATTCCTGTATTAAACTCTGGTGGGGTGGCAAGATGCTCAGCACATTTATTACTGTCAACTTTCTTACGAAATACTCCTGCTGTGTAAAGAGCAAGTTGTTTACTGCTAGTCTTCTGGTGGAGAAGAGGATAAATGGAAGAATGCTAATTGATAGGACACTGCTCTAACAGAGCAAAGAGGAACTTTTCCAGAGATTTAAAAATACTTCAGCTATGAGGCATAATTTCCATCTATTTTTGATTGAGAAAAGAGTTATGGATAAATGCTTTGTTTACCATATGTTACTGTGACTAAGGACAGAGAACAATGGCCAGGAGTGTAGTATGTAAACGAACAGCATGAAGTACCATTGTCACACATTTCTCATTTATACACTGCCTTTTGCAAGCTTTAAAGAATTACAAACTATGGGTGTCACCTCACCCCATTGAGCCCCTGTACACTGGGTAAAAAGCCCCATTTTCGGCTGGGGGAGGAAGACTTGGCTTTATATTCCGGTTCTGACAATTATTTGCCGTGTGATGTTGGGCTAATCGCCCATCCCAGCCAAGCCTAAATTTTCCTAGCTGTACAATCGAATCAATGATAGTTCCCCAAAGTAACTACAAAAGGGAATCAATGATATCTCCTAGGGGTACATGACACCTACCTAAATAATATCTGTACACTATTTTTATGACCAGTGACCAGGAAAGGTGGAAACAGAACTCAGGAGTTCCTGGTTCCAAGTCCCAAGTTCATGTCTTTTGGACATGCAGTCTCTGAGGGTGGCACTACCTTCTTCTCCTCCAACATCAAAAGTCCTTCAAGTCTAACTCAATTCAGCAGCTGAGTAGGCATTTCACTACACAGTTAATATCTGCACACATACATACACCACATGAATATTTAAGACTGGCATTTAAAAGACAAACAATTTAGCAAAAAATTGCAAAATACAAAAAAAAACAGTAAAAAACTATTTTAAAATATTTGCAAAATTTTATTGTTTTTTCACTCAGCTTTCTCAGAGCCTTTCCTTCCCAGAGCACCCACTACTGATATTTCACGTGCTGTTTTTGAGTTAACCCCCTTGGGGGTGAGGATGGAAAGTAGTTCCCATATTGTCCAAGGGAGGTAACTCTTGAATCCCCATCCTCTCATAATTCAGATTTCACTTACTTTCCACCCTTATTCTATCCAGCAGAGAACACCATATGGAAATGTGTAGCCCCACAGCAAGAAAGGAGTGAGTGTGAGAAAGTAGGGGATTGTCAAAGAGACTGATTACAACCTCATCTTGGCCAGGGCACTTAAGTATTTTCTTAACTTTAAGCATGTGAGTAGTCTCACTGGAGCTAGCAGAGTTAAGCACATGTGTAAGTCCTTAGTGGAAATGGAGCCCTATAACATGTGTAACCCTGCACCTGCTATAAAGGAAAGCATGAGAATAATGGAGGATACCCCGGACACCAACACTGACCTGTGCACTTGCTGCTGTACATGTTCTCCTGAACCTGGGATTTTGCTTTGCGCTTCCCTGGTGGCCCGGGAGGACCTTGCGGCCCTGGGGGCCCTGGGGGCCCTGGCTCTCCCTTTGCACCTAGGTAGAAAGCAGAATAGAGGATTACAGTTGCTGCAGGTGAACAGACCTCCTCTCAGCAGGGGGCCACTGTATGCATCGGATCTGATGTATAGAGAGAGGCTTGCAGGAACTAAAGCCCCTACCTGTGTCTGGAAAGACCCCAGCACAGCGGCCTGCTTCAGCAGGTACAGAGCTGGTTAGAGTTCCATACAGCAATGATCTCCACTGCAGGAGCAACAAGCTGAATGCTTGTCTATTCCCAAACAGAGATCTCCCAACAAGGGAGCAAAGGGCTTTGCAGTGACAGAGCAGCACTAGGTGTCCTGCCCGCTCTTGACAGATACTGATTTTAATAGCACCCAGTTTTTTAAAGAAGCCTGGTGCTTGTCCCACTGTCACAAATAAACTGGGTTTCCAGGTCCTTTCAGTGTCTGGGGTACAACAACAATGGAGAGAACACTGAGCTTTAATTTAAAGCAGGGCTGCCGTACATCACTGTTTTCTGAGCTCTCAGCATCAGAGGCTACAGTGCTATAATTTTAGGCAGCATTTATTTGTGGCTGCCAATGGGCTTCCTGCATGCATTCCTCGGTGGAAATCTGCCTGTCATAGTCTAATAGGAAAAAACCGCTCTGTGAGAGAGTAGGAGGAAATTTACCATGTGAAAATGTACTGAAGAAGGATGAAATTCACACATCTCTCAGCCCAGAGCCTGAGTAAAAAGGCTTTTGTGGGGAACTACACTAGGCTGGGGAGCATAATCCCATGGGCAGCTCTACCAGCCTGCTTCAAAACCCTCCTACATGCTGGGCTGCCCAGAGGTGGGATGCAGCCCAACCCTGCTGAGCAGTGTGTGTGTAGAGTCTCCCTGTGCACCTGCTCACCATTCTCCATGCAGCAGAACTGCTATAGTTCCTCTTTACTGGGAACCTTCTGAGGCCCCAGCAGGCCTGTGGGAATGTCACTGCAAGTGACGACCATGTTTAAGACAACGAAAGCGCGAATGCAGTTACTGTAAAAATACTGTGGTACTACTGCATGGTAGTGTGTGGCACTGGCCTGCAGAACACCACAGCACTAGAGAAGGGTAGTCTATTTTATTGTGTTGTATATTTCTGTGCTGCAGGAGAGATCTTAAGGGTGCTTCCTCCTACCTTCTGATATCACGTCATTGTTTGCATCCCCTTTGTCCCCCTTTGCGCCTCTTGAACCTTTCCCTCCTGGCATCCCGTCTTTGCCAGGTAAGCCCAGTTCACCAGGGTCTCCTTTTTCTCCTTTCTCTCCTGGATCGCCTTTTGGTCCTGGTAAACCTAGGCATGAGAAACTTGTTAGCCATGACTGTGAATACATACATTTATAAGACTATGATTCTTAAGGTCAACGTACCTTTCCCTCTGTTGCTTATTTTTGAAACTCACATCATGTATTATTTATGCCGTACCAGCCCAGTTGTTTTCTTCACTCTGAATTTCCTGTTGTGTGGCTTTGAGACATTTCTTTATGATTTAACATAGCTTTGTAGCCAAATAATATACACTATCCATAAAACATGTTAGGATACATGTTGTACGATGCATAAAGCCCAAAGGCTACATTTTTCAGAAGTGTTCACTAATATTGCATGCCTGGCTTGGGATTCCACGGTTCTGATTTTCTGAGATGCTAAACATCCACAGCACCCAATGACCTGAGCGTGTCTGAGTGAGGAGGGAGTGTTCGGTTAAAAAAAAAGTATTATTTTATCTTGAAATCCACTAGCATAAGTTTATCATCACTGGGGTGGGGGGTGAGGAGGGGGAGGGAAACCTCTTTAACAAGAACCCACTCAGAACTAGAATATAATCCAGGATTACTGACCTCTAGCTGTCTACTCTAGCCCCTAGTCCACAGTTCCTTCTTTCATCATTATTTTTAGTACACACCATTTCTTATATGGATATATGTATACACCCACACCCACCCACCCACACACACACCCCTTTGTTTTCATTCTTTCATTTCTCTTTCCTAGTCAGCCAATGAAGCCTTCCTGATCCCTAACTTTTTTCTAGCATTTAGGAAAACAACTTCTCCGAATGCTTCTTTTATCTCACAGAGGTTGACCATGATTTGTAGGGCATTAAACAGTCATCTACCCAGCTCTGCTTGCCTTTCTTTTAACACAACACTGCACTCATTATTGGGAGAATAATAACTTGTGCCAACAAAAACAAAACCTCTCCCTTTCTAGTAAAATTACCTTTATTGTGTTCTTCACATTTTATTTATCTGACATCATGACAGAGCATAGCCTTCATTTCCTAGTAATGTCCTCATGCTGCCTCCTCATCCTGCCTCCACACTAGCTACAAGCATGATCAGTCCACATACTTTATGCAGCTGATTACCATTGAGTAAAATATTCAACAACACATTGTATTGTTGAGTCTTATGACTCCCAGCAATCTCATCAGCACAGTTTGCAGTAAGGGGGGAAAATGAACAAGATGGGTTTGTACAATTCATGTGCCAAAATTTTGTCCTGTCTGCTTTGCTTCCTCTTCCCCAAAGCATGAAGACATTAGCACCCGCAGAAAAGCGAACAACTGTACTAGCACTGGAGCTGTAAATGTATAAATCACCGTCAGCTGGAAATGGATCATGTGGGTTGGTGATGGCTACTGATTGTAGAGAACCTCGGGTTTTTTACATGTAACTCAACTCTTTAAAATAATTCAGTGAAATGGGAAATATACTTAGAGTTCCTGCCTCCCCTGAAGTCGATAGTAAAACTATCGCTGGATACAATGAGGCCTAGATTTCACCCCTGGTTTCTAACTTGCAAAATGTGTTGAAAAGTGCTAAAATCTCAGCCCTGGAGACTGAAGTCTTCTGCTTATCCACGGAACTGATACCACACAGGCAGTGTCAGTACAAGCTTCCCCATACCAACATGACAATAGCTTCTAAGGGGTGGAGAACAAAGGCACTTCAGCCTCCATGGCTATTTAATCAATGGGCACTTCACGGAGACTGCCAACGAAGAAGGCAGTCATGCCAGCTCCCTTGGTACTGTTTGTGAGTGAGACACGTGGTCGCTGAGGAATGCACCCCTTGGTTGCTGTCACAATTTTTAACTCACATCTCAAGTGTTGCCAGTCACATGCCGATGCTGCTAACTGAGATTAAAAAACAAAAACTGGCCTTCTGACAGTAGACACTGCTGCAATGAGTGGGCAGGAGGCAGGCTGATAACAGCCACTCTTTAACACTCCCTCAGGTGGGCACAGCATGATTTTCAGCCACCTTTGTACCCCACCATCTAGACTTCTGCCAAGTGCCATAATGGAGAATCAAGACCAATGTGTCCAACGGTCACAGAAGGTGACTGGGACTCTTGGACTCTATTCCCAGCTCTGCCACAGACATGGGTGTGACCTTGAGCACATCAGTCAGGGTTAGACTCACAAAAGGATTTGGTGCCTACCTGCCGCTTTCGGAGCCTAAACCCCAGTATCAGGGCCCACTGGAATTCACAAAATCCTCGCACGACTGCCGCCAAACCCTGTAAGCGCCTAAACTCACCTGGCACTTAAATTTTTACAGTAAAAGTTCTCTAGGCGCCTATGTTTGTGCCTCTGCACGTGTGCAATGCTGCCTCACTCTAGGTGTCTGGATGCCTCAGCCCCAGCATGATGCATGGACCGGGGGAATACAGGCATTCTACCACCTAACTTGCCTGCTAGGCCCAATCCGGTAAGCATGCTTGCCTACTGGATCAGGCCCCCTCTGGCAACCTCACACAAAACAGCTGAGGAGAGAAGGACTCCAACCTCTCTAATAACTTTTAGCCTGCTGGTTCAGGCACTGACCTGGGATATGGGAGACCCCTGGTTCAAGTCCCCCTTCCACCTGAGGGGGAGAAAGGGTTTGAAGAGATCCTAACCATGGGGCTATGGGATATTCTGATGTGTGACTCTTTCAGTGTCTCCGGTCGGAGCTTTTCCACTGTGGCTAAATAACTGAAAGTCATTGGAGCATGGGGACTGGATCCTTGATCCCCCACCTCCCAAGTGAGTGCTCCATCCACCAGGTTACAGAGCTTTCTTCTCTCTCTCCCCTGCAGTCTCATATATTCCCGACCCACTGTACTAAAAGCTATGAGGGAGGTCCTCCTACTCCTTGCACAAATGGCATTGGCAATGAACTCCCTGAGATACAATCCTCTACTCAGCATCTCCCATTACCTAGCTTAGACATGGAGCAGCCTAGCATGCTGGTTTTTGTGAATCCCATTTTCAGGAGCCTAGGCTCCTTATACAATGCTTGGGGAGAGATAGGTGCCTGAGAATGGGATTCACAAAAGCCAGCATGCTAGGCTGTGAATCTCAATGATTTCCTAAGCACCTAGAAGTCAGGTGTGGTGACACTGAGTGTTGCCATGCCTATGTTCCTTTGTGAATCTAGTTCCTATCCTGTGTGTTCATGTACACATCTGTTTTGTGAGGCATTTTGGGATTCTACAGTAGTGCAAAGTATTATTATTATTATTATGGCCAGCCCCAAGTTTTCAAAGTGTTTGTATTCATGCCCAGAGGCCCCAACCAAGCTCTGGACCCCACTGTGTTAGGCACTGTAACCCCCACCTTGTAAGAGACAGTCACTGACCCAAAGAACTTACAATATAAATACGTAAGATAGAAAGAATGGAAGTAAAGCAGCATTCTTGCCACCACTCCATTCCACTCACACATTGAGTGCACACCTGCCTGCGGTCACCATGATATATAATAAAGACAGGATCTCCCCAAATTGCTGAAACCTTTTCAAAGGCTAGCTGGGGTCTCAGGGCCATAGACTGGTGGGGGAATGAGAAACTCTTACAATGACAGAACACAACTCCCATTAATAATAGTTATGTGCATGTGGAAAATGCTAAGATTTAATTAAACTGCATTAGATCTCTCTCTAATTAGGAGTGTACTATCATCTCTAGAGCATATCTACTATGGCCAAATTCTCCTCCCAGTATAGTGTAAATCAGGAGTAAATCCATAGAAGTCAATGGAGTGGCACTGGTCTAAAGCTGGTGAAGTCAACGGGAGTTATGCCTGTAGAAGAGAGAACAGAACTGGGTACTATATGTCTTATTGGTAGTCTAGAACATGTGTAAACCTTTCCTGGTTTCTTGAAAAGATGGGGCTGGCAATAAGAATACATTTACTGAAACTTATTTCCTCTGCTCAGAGTCTATAAGAAACTCTACTTGTGTATAATATTAATGAACACTTGGGTAAAATAGGATATATCTAGAAAGTACCTATTTTTCCTCTTCTTCCATTTATTCCTGGTTCCCCCTTTGGCCCTGGGATGCCAGGGATGCCATCTGATCCATTGTAGCCAGGTAATCCATCGAGTCCAGGAGGCCCTGAACAAACCAACAGGAGAGTGTAATTTACTTTAACCAAATACTATTTACACTTCATTCTCAAATCCACTACATTTACTGTATATCCGCAGTTCTCAGAACCTGCCATTATTTGGGTTCAGAGTGTAGCACGTCCTACATTCCAGTGCAATGGCCTTCAATTTCTGATAACCAAGCATGAGTCCTAGCTTAAAGGTAAAGGGTAATATTTTCCCCATGATCTTTGAGCAAAACTGTGATTGACATCAATTGGTGCTGCACCTTTTGCCTCCAGACCAGTACAGAGAAACAGTTTGGGTCTTGTTCATGGGCTTTTAAAATGAGGGTCCTGAAGAGGCCCAATGGGATCATGACCACACTCCCTTTCTCTATGGCTAGATGGGAGAAGGAAACCAAAGTTACGGAAGGGGGTCCCCAAAACTTTTTTCTGTTGTTTTTTTCTGGGGTCATTTAATGGAAAAGGTTGAGAACCACTAAGAGTTCTATTGTCTGCTCTCCCCTGACTGTGTGATCTTAGACAAGTCACGTGTGTTGTAACGTTAACCTCTCTGGGTGCTGTTCAGCCTATCTGTCAAATAAGAATAACACTTGCCTACCTACTGTAAGGATTAAGTAATGCCAGACTGTGGTTGGCCTGATGTAATGGGGGAGGGCACTAGGAACGGTCTGTCCCCCCTCCACCACCCTTTGGACCCCTCACACAGGAGGGAAGAAAGCCAGACACTTAGCAGAAAATAGTTCTAGGAAAAACTGCAGTTACAAAAGCAGGGAAAGAAGGCAAGTAATCACTCTTGTAGCCTGGCAGCCGCATGAGGGGAAAGAGAAATCAGAAATAAAATGAGGAGAGATAAGGACAAGGAAAATATAAACACAAAAATCACCAGCCAAAATTTTAAAAAAGAAAAATTTTCAAATGTGGCCAATTAAAACAGAGGAGTTCAGTTCTACATACTTATCTCCTTAAGCAAACACTGCTTAAGCCCTGTCTATTTCATGTGTTTAATGTTTAAAAAGTGCTTAGTTATAGCATTTTAGGGCTAAATCTGAACCATCCCCTTGTATGGATGCACAAGACCCAAAATACTATAAAATTAGTACAGTTCTGCTGAGTGGCGGATGAAGCACAAACACAACTGCGCAACCCTTATGTGGAATAGGACAGTGCACCTTGTCAACTCTCTGGGTGGACACATAGGGCAGGGGATTTGAGGACAGAGGAGTGGCCAGTGGGTCAAATCCCACCAGCCAAAAACCCTGCATGGGGCATATGCAGCAACGGGGGCTATGATCACTACTACAGTCCAAGGGATATAGATGCATCTGTTCAAGTATCCCCTGCCATATACTGCGTTGGAGTTAAAGGATTCCATACAGCAAACCCTGTGTTGTTCCCATGCCCGAGTCCCATCTAATCTAATTTGGCGTGAAGATCAGCATTTGACTTTTAACTAGGAAAGCAAGACCCCAGCAGTTTGTGAAACTTTACTACTTTTCATTAAATTTAGGATTTTATGAAACTTCTCCAAGTTTCACAAAATATTTTCCTTGTCAACATAAACCATTGCTTAAGAAGGAAATTGAATTAAACGTCATGTATTTCCAAATAAATGGAAGCCTGCACTATGCAATTAATAACCACTCTACGCTGAAAATCATCTCTGCCTCTAGGACCAGCAGAGGAATAAAATGGAAAACATGCAGCAGTGCACGGCTTGGACTTGGATGGAGCCAAACAGAATGTGAATGTCAAAGATTTCAAATTTGTTCTAAAAGCTACGTTTTTAGAGTAGTTTCCCAGGCCTCAATCCGGCAAAGGCTCATGCACACGTTTAACTGACATGAGATCCTCACGTATGTAAGTGTATGCAGCGTGGGCCTAAACTTTGGAACTGGTGAGGCTGTAATGGCTGCTGTTTCTTTATAAACTGATTGTCCTACAAACGAAGGCTCCTCAGCACCATTCACTGTGTAAAGGGATAGCTCAGTGCTGGGAGCCAAAGGAGATGTATGATCAAAATACATACAGCCATTTGATCCGACTACATGACACATGCACTACAGCATGTTATATGTTTGTTCTTTTATTACAGTGTTTCCCAAACTTGGGACACCGCTTGTGTAGGGAAAGCGGCGCAGGCCGAGGGACATACTGGCCGCCGCTTCCAGCAGCTCTCATTGGCCTGAAGCGTTGAACCATGGCCACTGGGAGCCACGATCGGCCGAACCTGCGGATGTGGCAGGTAAACAAACCGGCCCGGCCCGCCAGGGGCTTTCCCTACACAAGCGGCGGCCCGAGTTTAATAAACACTGATTTATTAGATCAATTCAGTGAAAAAAATGATCCCAAAGTAAATAAGGCGTCAGGCAAATATTAAAAAGTATTAAATAAACAATGCATATGTATTAATTGTTGTGTGAAAACACACAGTGCAGCTATTGTTTACACATGTGTTGCATAATCTTTAGTATTCAATTGATGCCTTATGAAGGGAAAGATCATTTTATGCAGAAAAAAATGCTCATGATGGAAAACAGACATTATGGAATTAGTTTCCTGATTTGATGTGGGTCAGTTTGCTAATAAAGTTTGGAAGCTTCTGCAATGTGGATCCTATTCAGAAACATTCATATAAAGATAATGGGATAATAAATTTAAAAAGGGCCAGAGTCACCAGCATGCTCCAGCAGCTTTTGTGTCACTCTGGGGATGCTAACCTGCCATAAACTTATTTTAGTTAGCCAGTGAAGTTGGGTTTACAGCTGCTTTGCATCACCAAAATGGAAGAAAGCAGATGGAATTTCCTGGGGAACCTGGCCTAATAGGACAAGAATGAGAGGCAGGAGTAGCACCATAAGTGTAGGTAGGCAGGCAGGGGAGACGATCTCAGATTTATAATCCTTCTTGCTACTCTGAGGCAACCATGATAGGGACACCGGTAACTCTGGATGGTTGTAGCAAAGCAAAGGAGGAAAGGTGATCCTGTGGTTCAAGTATAGCATTGGGAATCGAGGTATCTGGGACTCTCTTCATGGCTCTGCCATAGACTGTGTGTGACCTTAAGCCTGGTGTTCCCCAGTGTTCTTATCTATACAATGGAGACAACTGAGGTGACCAGATCATCAACATGAAAACAAATATATACCTGACACTCTTTCCCCAACGATAAGCCTATTCCCACACTGACCCTCTTCCCTCAGCTCCTGGGCTGGGACCTGCTTCTGCTGGGCTGGTGGTGCTGAAACAACCCACCAGGCTCCACTTATAGCAGTGATGGAGTGGCACCCCACAATTCTACCATCAGCTTCCTTTCAGAAGTGCTACTGTGACTGTTTTCCCCAGCAGCTAGGAGAATGGCTTTGTGGAGCCTACGGCAGCCCCCTCTGCTGGGGAGGACTGATGAATGTTGCTGTTGATCAAAAATTGGCTTGGCAGAATTCTGTTTGTTTATAATTTCAACAGACAATATTGATGTTTATTTTTAAGCATTTTTCCTATTTTATCTATTTAATTTTTCAGAGTTGCAGGAAATTATTGGAGGATCAGCCAATGCGGGGTTCAGACAATAATTATTTATAACAGTAGATGTTGAAATTCAAAAAGTTAAAGCTTTAAAACCACTAAAGCACAAATTATCAATATATATGTCAATATATAAAAAGTGTAAATATCCTTAAGTCAAACTCTAATAAAAAGTTCTGAAACCGCATTTTTCTTACTTTCTCTATCTGTAAATTTGTATTATCACTGATGGAAATATTTTTTGTCGTTGCGTGTGTATTACAGTGAAATCAACGTTTATCATCAACATTTACCAATAAAAATCGAATCCTTCAAGTCTAACTATAAAATAGCATAGGTGTTGCATTTTAAAACTCAAAATGTTGAGGACAGGCTGAATTTTACTGAAAACTGGGACTGTTCAGGGGGAAGGAGTACAACAACACTGGAAGGATAATGACACTATATACCTCACATGATCATTGAGAGGCTAAAGTTGTGAATGTTTGCAAAGCATTTTGAGATCTTCTTATAGATGCTGTAGAACTGCTAAAATTATTCTCAGTCTCAGTCTCCTGAAATAGCTAACAGATGGGTAGCAGTGGATTGATAGGCGGGCCTGGGTACCATGAGCTCACCACACTCAGCCAAAACAAGAATGAATGGGAATTATTAGATGCGGAACAGATATAGCATAAGAATAGGCAGAGAGGAGAGCCAAGTCTTTTTTTCTCTTTGGCATAAAAATTACACCCCTGGGCCACATAATACAGTCAGGCTACAAGCACTTCTAGATGTTCAGTATCCAAATATTTTCTTATTTAGGAAACTTTGGTTCATAGAATCAGGGCCACTCTTCAGGAATCGTGTTTTTTGATTCACCCCTCTCTCACACTAACCTGGAGATCACTTTGTCAAGGAGACACTTTGTCAATGTCTTTATACAAATATTTTTTAAACCACCAAGTGAATCAACATCATACCTACAGTATTATAATTGAAAAGGTATCTTACCTGGGGAGCCTGGAGGGCCTAAACCAAAAACAAGAAAAAGAACACGGGAAACAAAGAGAAAAAATGGTGAGTGTAACTTGGCAGCTCAAGTAAAACCAACACTAAACTCAGCTGATTAGCATTAGACCAAAACGAGACAGAAAAGAACTTTCAAACTTCTGCATTGGCACTTACTTTTAATACAAAATAGTAAAACCTGTAAGTACTGAGGCATTAGTGCAGATCCAGCCAGACTTGCTGTATAATTGCTTGTGAGGATAATCTTTCAAAAACAATGCCAAGCCCAGTCATTTCTTAAATTTCCACTGATAACAATTTGACAAAGATTGGCCTCTGAATTCTCAATGCTATTGAATGAATTAATCAGGAGACAGGTGTTTATGTGCCTTTTCACTAATATGCACCTAAGTCATCCATTAATTATTATGTTTACATTACTTAGTGCCTCATAAGGAGTTCTCTAAAGCCTTAGTTGTGGTAATGGAAGAACCAGGTATCAGGTTAAACGTTGCAAATGTCATGAGAAATTTTTTTAGAGACTACCCATTCCAAAGTACACACCTTCCTGGGTAATCAGCAAGAATTAACAGGTTTGAAATAGGATGGTTAAATATTTTCTCTTCTCTAATCTGCAGTAGCTATGGCTAAATAACAAACAGACTCCTTTTACTTGTAATTGTTCTCTGTTCGGGATTGGATCTGGTTGCCTGTGAAAGTTCATTGTTTGGTAACACTAGAAATTGGATTCACTCTAGTAATTCAAAGGATATGTGTAATACAGGACATTCTAGTGGAAGCTGTCAAAGTCTGTTCTGTATGTGACTTGAACTACATCAAAAACAAACCTGCACTAGGTGTATGCAAAATATTATCATTCATTTTTCAAGGAAGAGAATCTTAGAGCCCGTAAATTAGGGTAGCTTTTACGATGTATGCTAAGGCCCCTTTGCACTGCCAGAGCAATATAAAGGGGCCTTACCGTACATGACTTCCATGCCCATAATTCTCATGAGGCAGGAATAAATAATTAATACAGGGCATAATAAGAAGTGGCAAATTATCTGTTCTATGTAACATCTGGTAAAACATACTTTTGTCAAAAACTGGGGAAAGTTGGAAGATAAGAAGAGAGATTACTGCTGGGATTAAAGAACTGAATTCTCTGTACTAACATTTTTACCAGGGCTACAAAGAATTTTTTAAAATATAAAACTCTTCATAGAAATTAAAGAAATTTACAGATCTCTGACACTAAACCTGACAATTTTAAGGCATTCATTAAAAAGCTTTATAGGAAAAGTGAAGCACAGTTTAGAACAGCACTAAACCTGCACTGACTTTTTAGAAATACCTGTAGATGCCAGTTAATACACTTTTCAGTCAATTTTCCAAGAAATGCCTGACCTTTTCACCATGGACAATTTTTTTTCTTAGTACTCTCAATTACTTTGTCATCTTGAACTCATTGAAGATGCTAGATGTCCTTTTATCACATAGAAAAATAGAAAAGTACTTGAAATGTAGCAAATGTAATGAAGACAGCTAATGTCTACCATGTAGTGAGCTATTGTTAAAGCCAACGTTGGAGTGGGGCTTAACTGAGATGAAGATTCAGGGAGTGCACAGAAAGGGAGTTAGCAGGCATGAGTAGTGTGAAGTCAGAATTCTGGAACCCAACACAAGCTGTACTTTAAGCTGTACTTGACAGTGGAGTTGCCTTTGTTCCAGTCAAATTTCACCTGCGCTTTCAGAGGGAGTTTTTGTGTTTTGTCTCCAATATATCAAGGCTGGATCCATACAGGAGAAAATTCCCACAAAATTCTAACTCATTTTGAATTCGGGTCAGTTAAACTAATATTAAACCCTGTCGGATCGGTAGTTCATACCAACTGCAAATGGCCTGAACTGTTTTACTGAACTGGTATCCAAACCTAAGTGGTTTACTTATTTTCTCATTTTCAAGTATGTATATCAGCTCCAGCAGCTCAGACTACTATATACTTTGGCTAGCAAAGCCAAGACAGAGACCTTGGAGTAGCTAAAGCTTTACATTTTCTGGTTTTCCCAGACCACATGCAAACTTTTCATGCCTTCAGCCTGCCCCAGCCATCAAGTATTTTGAAATTCCTTTGGATTTTCTGAGAAACCAACCTCAGAGTCTCATGATATGACCATCATCATCCTTCAGAGTCCACTACCTCCACTCCTACCTTAGCCATGGCATTTTCTACAGTGATACAAGGGCCGCCCTCCCGCTGGGTTGTCCATCCCATGCTGATCTAGAATCAAGAGGCTGAGCTCCAGTCTTTAATGACTGTATAGCACCTTGAAGATACCAACAGCTATTAAGTACCATTTTAAAGACCCCAATTCCGTAATGAGCTCTGCAAGGGTGGACTCCCATGTAGGAAAACTATCTGGGAAATAAACATCCCCAGGTAACAATGTTATTCTGGAGACTTTGTAAATTCTTGTATTTACAATAGCTCGGTACTATTACTACTACTATAGGATTGCCTCTTTACTTTTTTCAAAGGAACATAAACCAATGATAGTGTACATTTTTAATCAGATCAGTAGTATCATTCCTATAAAAATTATAGTCCTACAGCCTATAATTATCTCAAGCCAATTTTTCCTCCAAAAATTATTTCATCACCAAGCATACAGCATTCAGCATAATGCTATAGTAGTATTTGAAAACATACCTGTTAAGCATATCCCTTTTGTGCTGTTACATAAATCCACCATCACACGGACCTAATATTACAAAAGAATGTAAAATTCACAACAATGCACTGAGTTTCAGTTTCTACGCAAAGGACAAACAAAACCTCTCTCCGGTTCACTTTATTCTTCTAAGTGATTGCTGTGCAAAAAGCAGTTGGGAAAATTATCTACTTTACAACTACACCAGCTTGTAGAATGTGAGCAAACTATTTAGACCTTAACTTTGGCCTTTTGAAGACCTGCATATGTATTTGTAATTATTCTATCTTTAAGAATCTGTGCATTGTACCATTTTAGCAACATTTTTTAAAAAATACTGCATGGGCACATCTCTGGATGTAGTCAGAGTATAAAGACTTACACCTTAGTTCACTTAGATTTTCAAGGCTCTCTATCTGAGATAGGTTATCAAAGATTATCAAGGCTGGCAGCAGCCAAATATGATCAGTGATTAACTCAGACATATGTCCATTTATGGGTCATTTTCTATCATGCAACATAACTCAACTTGCTTACCAGATATATAAGGTGATTCCCTACTAATTTCTTCACTTGACATAGTACAGAGCAGCATGTGATTTTGGAATTCGATTATTGGAACCTCATCCATTTGTGGCACTACAATAATTGGGGCATTTTGTTCTGATACTTGTAATTGAGAGAAAGCCACAATTCACCATCTCAACAAGACCATCTTTATAACACTGTCCTTACGTTGTAGTAGGTATGCCTACTGATAAGTTCTGGTACTGTTATTTTTGATTACATTTCTTTCTTTTTTATTTACTTCCTAAGAGTGAACATTGTACTAATACAGGGCTCAGCACTGTCAAATGAGTACTCTCAACTCTCAGCGATTTGAATGGCAGCTGGCAATGTTCAGTGCCTTGCAGAATCAAAGAGTCCTTATGTAAGTACTAGCCAAGATTTCTGATCTAAAATATGCTTTATCTCATCATTCACTATACTTACAACATCTATCTTCAGATGTCACAAGTATCTTTCCAGGGTAATATAAAAACCACGGCATTCTCTTTTAAGTAGTATACATTGTCGCTGTTGTAGCTAAGTATCTTTTGATTTATAAAAATAAACAAAGGATCAAGTTTCCAGCCTTCAATTGCACTTGAGTAAAACTGTGCCTCCACTCAGCACACATGCATGCATTTGTTTTTGAATAACCTTGTGTGTGCCCTTTAAATAATCTGAGGACATGCAAGGTTTACCATTTGCACCTGCAAAACCCATTGTCAACCAACTGTCATTTAATCTGTGCTTCAATCTGGAAAGTTACTGAAGCTAGGGGGTAGAAAATGCATGCGTCATGAGATCTGTAATGGGATATGTACTGCAGCTTTTGTTCTGTTGGTTATTGTTTCAAATCCAGCCCACAATGTTATTGACTAAAAGCTGTTGCTACTCGGCGACAGTTCTGAGACCTGTGTGATTGGTAGCTCCTACTAGACAGATGTCCAGGTCATAAAAACAAAACAAAACAATAAATGTAGTGCTTATTGGCACCCTTGTTGGTAAACTCAAACAAGGAGACCAAGAATTCAATGGGTATGGAGAGTAAACTTTCCTCATATCACCAATACGTCAGACTCAAAGCTCTTTAGCTGAGGAGCATGGAGAACTTTATACCACCATCTTCCCTGCTGAACTTCTGCTGTGGATGGAGAATTTCTGTCTCCATGGCTGTCAATTCAGCCCTTTTCATCAGCTCTAGGCTCACTTTAAACTTGGTTTAAAAAGAAAAAGGAGAGAACACCTAACACAGAAAGTGAGAGAGATACCAGGCTTCAAAGAGTTCTTCAACAAAATCAAGGAAATCAAGACCTGATATTTCTCATGTAAAAAGACAAGTCAGTTTAAAAAAAAAAGTATGAGGCTGTCTTTATAAATCATTTAAAATAAAAATTCAGGATACAAAAACAAAAACAATCTGGGACACAAAGGTGGTTGGTGGGGTTTTTTTTTGTTTTGGTTTTGTTTTTGTTTTTGTTTTCTGCTTTGCTTTGCTTTGCTATTCACCTATGAGAACCACTGCCTCTGATTTTTTTGTCTCTGGATCAGGTTTAGGGGTTCTGGAGCCTTAGACAAACTGGCAAAACACCACCCCTACTAGTTCACTGTCATCCACACAGAACACTAACTGAATGTTTTACTGCCCCATAAATGTTGTTGCTCAAGGTGATGGTCTATCTCAGAGATTCTCAAACTGTGGTCCGCGGACCACCAGTGGACCGCAAGCTCCATTCAGGTGGTCCGCAGATAGTTCCCTCTAAGGGGCACACCTAGGCGGCCGCACACCAGAGAAAGAAGGGCCACCCACCTAATTAGTGGAGCCGCGCAGACGTGGTTCCTCTAATTAGGTGCCTGGACCCTGGAGAAGACACACATGTAAGGTGAGGTGATGGCCTTGGGGGGAATAGAGGGTAGGTGGGAGGGGGAAGTGGGGTGAGAAGAGGGGGTGGGGGGAATTTGGGATGTGCAGGGCTGCAGTGGCCAGAGAAAGAGGCCACTTTCCACGAGGGCTGGCTCCAAGTTTTTTGCCACCCCAAGAAAAAAAAAATGTCCCCCCCCCTCCCCCGGCCCCGCTCCTTCCCCAAATCCCTGGCCCCACCTCCTCCCCCGGGCGCACCGCATTTCCCTTCCCTGCCAGGCTTGCCTGGGAGGGAGGGGGGAGAAGCGGAGCGAAGGTGCTCTCAGGGGAGGAGGCGGAGGTGAGCTAGGGGGAGTGGTTCCTCTGCCTCCTGCAGGGTTACTTCCTGCGGCCCTCCCTACGCCA